CCCCCGCCCCTACCCCGTAACCACTGAAGTTTCTGTAATTGTATCGACCTGACGAAGAATTGCTGAAAAACCATGTTTTCCAGGATGACTTCTCAAACGGAGATCTAGTTGCAATTTCTAGAAAGACTGATTCAGCAAACAGACATTAACAACAACCACGCCGGCACCTACCTTTCAACGGCATTCATATCAGCGTCATCCTTGGAGAAACTTGCGCTTTCAGACCACTCGAAGTCGTCAAGCATCACACTGCCACTGCCTCGATTTCTGAGGAAGAGGAAAAGGACAGCCAGCAGAACGACAGCTAGAAGGACGCCGATCACAATGCCAGCAATAGCACCACCGCTGAGGCCGCCCTTATCCACGACCGCAGCTAAAGGCAAAACAATCCCTGAATTAACACACTGATGGTAACATACGCTAATGCTCTCTCGTGTTTGTAATTGGATTTCCTACTGACAGGAATTAAATGGATGTAGGAATGCTTGAGTATCCCCAGTAACCCCCAAAAGTCAGTTGCTTAATCTGGAACCCTCTTTTTTCATTAAGGATGAAGGGTTTTATAATGGTTTGTCCAGTGAGGACAGTTACGCGGTGCATAGACCTTTACCTTCACTCGCGTCTTAATTCGGCTCAAGGTCAGAGTTATATCTGGGTTTAAGGAGAGTGTTAAAGCCTCCGGTATTCTTAGGGTAAGGGTAACCAAACTGCTACCATGACTTGCCTCATAATATGTCCAATCACTTAAGGATTCTTGAAGTTAGAATTAAATTCACCGGCGCCAATACGGTTGTAAAAGATTCGCATTGTATCAAAATTTGTGGCAACCGTAGGTTTTGTAGCTTAATTAGCTGCCGCATTTTGCTCTGTGTTCAGAAGTTCTATAGTAAACGTATAGTCCCTATGTGGAGTTAACACCGGTATATGTCGCTCAGTACGTTAATGCATGCAACTCCTGTTAAGAGATTTTGAAAAGCTGATGAAATAGCTTACTCAGAAAACTTACGTCCCAGTGTTGTGATGCTCGTGGTCGGGGT